ACTGTATGAACCTTAACAAAGCAGGACAAAGAATATGGAAATTTGTTCTTTCTTCCGAGTTTTACTTTCCCCCATTCGCTTCCCTCCTCTTTCTACCTCACACCAGCAGATAAAAGAGGAAAAAAAACAACTCTAAAGCAAGTAAACCAAAATCAGAAACGGATGGAAAATAACTCCTATGAGGAAAAGTGGCCTGGAATACCTTTAAACCAGCAGTGGGGTGAAGAAAAGACTAAATGCAGGAAAGAAATCCAGCATGGCAGGAAACAACAACGACTTGACAGCACCATGCCCATCTAAGAGCCAAAGCCAAGAGGCTGGTCCAGCTCCCCAGCCCTCTTTCATGCATTTATTCTTCCCTTTCCATCTCCATTCATCTGATCCCATAGTGAGCTGGAACAGGGAGCTAAACATGCAGAAAAAATCCTTCACGTTTTGGTAGGGTGAGTTTTCTGCCCAGTTAGCTCTGAGCTGCCAGCACTGGCAGAGGGGGACGAGAAGGGGCAGGGATGTGCCCATACCTTGCAGCAGAAGCAAACTGCACCATGAGAAACACCCGTCCCACACCAAAATAGCCTCAGTGCCACCCTGACCGTCCCCAAGATTAATCTTTTTCCCACTACAGAGGGTGTAACAACAGCAGTTATGATGATGGGGTCAGACCCAAAGAAATTGAAGATTTAAATTTAAGGAGAAGAATGCAGGTGAGAGATCTAGGCTCCATTGAGGCTGAAGTTCCCTGGAGAAGGAGGTGCAAAATGGGAGGGGGGGGGGAAAGATTAAAGAAAGTTTCAGCTTGAGCTGCTCCAAAGTGTCACTAAGAGCTACTCGTGCTGGTGGATGCCCAAGTGGACCTCGTGTTACAGTTCAGGTTTACACAGCACTTTGGGATTCCTCGTGATCAAAACTGGCCTTCAGCCAGCTTGCAATGCTTTTTAATGATTTTTTTTTTCTGCAATACATTAAAACCACCCGCCTTTCTTTCATAAAAAGAGAGTGGGGAAAAAAAAATAAACAGCTCCTTCTGATGTGAAGGGATCCCTGAAAACATAAATTAATTTAGAGTTTTCAAGTAATGGATAGTTGAGGACAGGTCTCTAAGACTGGCTTTTGGGCACCACAGAAACTCACAAATCCATGTATTATTGTTCTCTTTATGTTCAGGAGCACAAACGTTATCATTACACATTTTCCAAACACACCCTAGGTCAGAACACAGTGTCAACATACAGTTGCTAAATTAGAAAGTCCATTCCTAGGTGTTAAATTTGAAGAATGATCCAAAACACTCTAGTTTGTCTTGTTAAAATCAGTTCCTTCACCCCACATTCAACTTTCTCTGCTCCAGTCTGAGTTCTACAGACATTTATTTATCTTATGGGTAGACAAAAGTACAAACTTCAGTTCAACATTTATGTCACAGCTCCCAATACAGCCATAAAATCAGTGAGAAATTGATGAATTTAAGGAAGTTGAGTGTTTTCTAACCCCAGGACATGCCCCACACTCCAGCACAGCATGAACTTGGAGTTTCAATGTCTTCTGAGAGCTGAACTCAACCCATCTGAGGGAGCAGGAAAGCTTCATAAGGTTTTGTATGAAATCCCAAGACTTGGATCTTCTTCAAAAGCAGACTTAGGAAAAAGGAATTCCCCCGTGCTGATGCCAGCAGAGGTCATCAGAAGAGCCGAAAGGTTTAAATCTTCCATTGCCATCAGCCCCCTTCCAGACACTGCCACTTGCATGGAGACACGGAGCGCTCGAGCCTGGAGCATCCCAGAGTCAGAGGGAACACAACATCCCATGACAAACACCTGCCCTCCAAAAAGGGCTGCTGAAAGATGGGAATGAGTGTGCTGCTGGGGTCTGGAGGAGGACATGGTTTAACCAGAAGAGATTCTTCTGCCCGTTCCTCCCCACTCACCTACAACCACTTCTGTCCCACATCCTTCAACTTGGCCTCGAACAACCTGCATCCTTCCGGGAAAAGTCCTGCCTCATGGGATGGTCTCCTCCCCACTCAGCCTGGCTGAAACCTTTTTGGACATTAAAATCCAAAAGTGCTAACTAACTGCTGCTATTTTTCAAAGGTTTCTAACACAGCCAACCTGAGCAGTCTGCCACAGCAACAGCCAAGGGTTCATCCCAATCCAAAGTCACCTTTCTGCACTAATGCAGTTGGAATTTTTCCTGGCCCTGTTATCAGGAGTGACTAAGCTGCATATCATATGCCTCATCAGAGAGACCTCTGACTTGGAAAATTTCAGTCTCAGAGTTGATAAAAAAGTAAAAGCAAAAGCAAGGGAAAACAGGATTTGTTAGTGTGATGTTAATCCTAAATTGTCCTAACATAGCATCACCTGTAACTTCAGATATTCAAAACTATATTTACATGCCATCAAGCGAGTACACAGTGTGAAAAAAACACTATTCTAACCTACAGTTTGCTGTCCTACGTGTTATGCTCAGTTTTTCTCGTAATGTACAGAAAAATTCAGTCCAACCAAGCATAGCATGCTCACGGCTTTCTGATGAAACCACCAGAACCTGCTGCTCTGTGTAATGCTGAAGGATTTATAAAAAATGCTGTGGAGCAGCACCGACTGCTCCAGGCATTAGAAAGAAACAAATGAACACTTCTGTGAGTACCTGAACACAAGATACACCACACATCTCCAGGGTACAGTAGGTCAAAGGTAAATATTGTTAAAAATAAAAAATACTCCATGGGAAACTTGCGCAAGTCCTGTTTTACATATGATCAGTGACTACAGGACGAGGAAAGTGAAGAAAACCCAACACTCTGCACCTGTGATTACCAGTCCCCATGCAGATCAAGAGGAGTCTTACTCACTCTCCAGGCATGCTAACTTTTAACAAGCAGAACCTGAATTCCTGCGGACTTCAGCCCCTAGGGAAGTGCCGGTGTGGGTTCTCTGTCGCCTAATAGAAGGGTGAGCTCATGCCAAAGCTGCTCTCCATGAAGCAATAACATGGTCTCAAAACCTGTTCTCACAAAGCTCACGAAAACTTGGTTTTAGAGCTAAATATTGTGATGTTCTACTGATATTTGCCAATAAATCCTAAAGTTACTATGACGACAGTGTACATGATTAACAAATCACTTCATGGGTAAACAGGGCTGTTGGACCTGGAACCATGCTGAGCTTCTAAGCTTCAAAAATTTACAAGGAACACCTATTAATCATCCCTAAACAAAGCAAAAACATGCTCTGCTAAGAATCTGTGGATTGACTAGCACTGACAGGAAGTGTTGCAATGGGTGCATTACTTCTCTGCTCTTCCCATCACGATCCAGGCTTTCCAAGGAATGCAAACTGTTTGCACAACAACAGGATACCAAAATGTCTCCAGCACCTGGGAGAGCCTTCAGAATCCATAGGGAGCCACATAGTTCTATCACATCCCTAACACTAAGCCTTGGTGTTAAAATGATGCCAAAACCTCCAGTGCATCAAACCTAAAGAGTTTTGAGGTGGGGAGTCTCTGGGTGAGTGCAGGCTGGTACCCTGATCGCAGCTATCCTGGTCAAGGTGGTGTCCACAGCAAGATATCGATCAGGCACTGGAGAAGCGGGAGATGGTTGGAAACACTCAGAATCACGGAATGTTTCAGGCTGGAAGGGACCACAGTGGGTTCATCTGGTCCAACTTCCCTGCTCAATCAAGGTCATCCCAGAGCACACGGCACAGGATTGTGTTCAGACGGTTTTGGAATATCTACAGTGAGGGAGACTCCACACCCCCTCCGGGCAATCCCAGCGCTCCGTCACTGCACAGGAAAGAAGTTCTTCCTCATGTTCAGGTGGAACTTCCTGTGCATCAGTTTCAGCCCGTTGCCTCTTATCCTATTGCTGGGCATCCCCGAGCAGAGAGATCCATCCTCTTGGCAGGTTGGAATATTTATTACAGATAAATATCGATATTTTTAACCCCATTTAGATATTTATAAACAGAATTTCACCCGAGGATCTACACCACCGTGTCCGAAGGGGAATTAAGTCCTCTAGCAGAGCCTACTCTACGTGCCCCCTCCCATCCCATCCCACCCGCGGGGCTCCCGCGGTACCTGCGGGCGGGAGGCGGCGGCGCTGGCCGGGAGCGGCGAGATGCCGGGATGGCCGGGAGCGGCGGGATGCCGGGAGCGGCGGGATGGCCGCCGGCGCTCACCTGGGCGGAAGCGGGAAGCGAGGGGCGATCCCGCCTCACCTGCGGCGCAGGAAGCCGGGGCGGCGCGGCGGGAGAGCCGCCTCCCGAGGGACGGCCGGGAATCGGCCCCTCCCGGCCCCGCCGGGCCTGCGGGCGGTGCGGGGACAGCGCACGGGGAGGGGACGGGGCTGAGCCCACCAGCGAGACACGGGGTCTGGCCGCTGTGGGAAGTGCAGAGCTTAAACTTCGGAGCAGAAATTAACTTTTTAATCAGTTTTCAGCTGATCCTGAGCTCCCAGTATGTTTATAAGTCGTGGTTCTGTCACATAGTCCTTGCCTGTCACATGGCCACCGACCTCCCCAGCGAAGGCAAAACAAGTGTAAATATTGTAGAAAAGCTTGGTTTTCACTCCTTTGCTGTAAATCGGTGTCCAAACTTGATTCAGGAGCTGTTTCACGCTCCCCACAGAGGTGAGGTGAGCTGTGCCCAGTCTCAGCAGTCCAGCTCGTCACCACTTCACACAAAGGAACGTCAAAAAACGTAGGAAAACTACTTGGATGGAGTTAAGGGATTGAAAGACTTCGCGCACAGAGCACCGAGCCAGCGCTGCTCCCAACAGCACCCCAAAACACACCACGTCACTGCAGCTTCCAAAGAAACACAGTGCAATGCCTGGGATGGCAATAAAAGCAAAGTTTTCCTCCCACTAGTCACAAAATACTGAACAGGTACCATTTTAGTTAATTGCGGGAAATGCAGGTGCTTTCTGTCCCTGAAACCTCTATGTTAGCCTGCTTTCTGATTTTTAAAGAATTAGATATGTACGCACATATACTCAAAATCTCCAAATTATAATTTTTATTCTGCTACACAGTTTCATGAGCTCATTTGCTGATCTCACACAGCCCTGCTCATTGCACACAGTAAGGGCTACAGGAGATTTGGAAAACAATTTCTTATAGATTTCCCCTCATTCTAGTGCCTGTTTTTACTACGCAGCAGCAGTTGCACTAGAGCACGCAACATGTTAAGAACACGCCATTTCATCCCCCTTTTTAAAAAATTCCAGCTCCAAACGCCCAACTTCCCAGTCGTGACTCTCAGTTTTAATTAATGTGGCGCTCGTGAGAAGTGACAATTTTCTTGACAGTGATGAACAGCGAGTGGTGTATTTATCCATCCGAGAGACGCGCTGCAGACAGAAGAGCCGAGCACTTTCCCATCAGTGCACCTCTGTCTCCATCTCCGAGGGCTGAGTTCATCTCGGAGCGTGCTCTGGCCCTGGCCTTTCACTTCCAGTTGCTGAAAGGAGTATCAATTTTCATTTGCATACTTTGCCTGCTGAACTCCAGGCTGCCAATTCAGTTTACACAAATCTCCCAAAAAGCTGTTAGATGGCAATATTTCACATCGCTGGCTGGGCTCTTTGTCAGCCATCCACACGTTTTAAATCTACACTTTTACAGATTCTGAGTATCTGGGACCATGACAAACCTTTCATTGGTATTGACACTCTAGACAAGTAACCAAAGTAACACCCATTAAACCCAAAAGACTTCCAGAAAGTCTGGGTAACGATGATGTTCTAATCAGTACTGTCTCAGAGTTGCTTTTCCAGCTTATTAGGTCCAATTTTCAGGAAACGCTTCTTGAGCTGATGTAAACTTAGGACACTGGTGCTGCCTTTCCTGGGTGTGTTTACCCCAAATGATTTCTCCATCTCCTATAAACAGCCTGGCATCCCCAGTAGTTCATAAGTGAAAACTGACTCCTTCCAACCTAGCAAAACCTGAAACAGCCACGCTAGAAAAGCATTAAATAACTGTTAAGGAAGCGAGAAAAGGAAAAGGTTTGTAATCACCACCAAATACCTTACAAAGAGCACATGCTGATGAAGATAAAAGCTTGCCTGCTCCAGGCATTAATTATTCATTTTAAAAATTGAAATAAAACCCGTTTTTAACAATGCACAACTTCATGCAAAAATAGAGTAACAATTTCAAAGTATTTCCTTAATCCGAGTGCTGTGGGTGTGATGGACACAGTGCCAGCACATCAGGCCCACCTGGCTGCCAGGGAACGTCCCAGCCCAGGTTAACCTGGTTTGGTAGGTGCTGACAGGTCACACCTTTAACTTCTCCTGGGGTTTTTAAACTTATTTTAAAGTACCCAGCAAACTCCAGACGCCACCAGGAACACTCACAAGTGCGATTTCACCAGGTGGGCCAACACCAGTCAGTGCTTGGAAGGGCGGGGAGGGTTCATATCACGTTCTTCCCTCACCGGGCCCCGCCACCCTCCACTCTGTTCAGGGCACGTCCTGCCCGCGGTGCCATCACCCGGAGCAGCCGCAGCCCCGCTCCGAGAGGCTCCTCGCGATTGCTCACAGCTCCCCTCCTTTTCCCCCACCGTCCCCACACCTCCCCTGGGCCGGGCGCCTCACGCCTGACATCTTGAGTCAGGGCAGATGCCGGCGGCGGGCGCGGCCATCTTTACTCAGGGCACGGCCCCGCCCGTCCCTCCGCCGGACTCTGCGAGCGCCATCTTGGGTAAGGGCGCGCTCTGCCCTCAGTGCTGCCTCAGCAGCCATATTTAATAAGGTCACCCCACGCCCCTCAATCCCCCCTCCAAAAAACCTAAAACCCCAACCCTTAGCACCCCACAAACATCCTGGGGTACTCCCCGTTTCTCCCCGCAGCCAGCGCGGGCTCCCACCGCGGCGGGGCCGTTCCGCTCCTCCCCGGTCAGCTGACGGCGGCGGCGGCGGCGGTCCCGTCATGGCCGCCCGGAGCGGCGCGGCTGAGGTGCGGGTGCTGCTTCTCCTCTGGTTCGCAGCGCTGGAGGGAGCGGCGGGCTCGGAGCCGTCGCTTAAGTGCGAGGAGCTGCGGATGGGGCAATATCCTGAGCGGAGCCGGGGCCCGGGGCGGGGGGTGGTGGTCGTGGTGATGGGCCCGGTGTGAGGCGGAGGGCATCGCTTGTCCCGAGCCCCGGCTGGAGGGGAGGGGGCGGTGAGGGCCGTGAGGTGCCTGGAAAGCCTCAGGGTGGGAGCCCCGAGGGGGTCTGAGCTGGCCGGAGCGGGACAAGGCACCTCAGGATGTAGGATGAGAGGAAACGGCCTCAAGCGGCACCAGGGAAAATTCAGTTTGGTCATCAGGAGGAATTTCTTCACAGAAAGGGTGATTAGACATTGGAATGAGCTACCAGGGAGGTGGTGCAGTCGCCGTCCCTGGGGGTGTTTAAGGAAAGACTGGATGTGGCACTCCGTGCCGTCGTTTGGTTAACATGGTGGTATTTGGTCATAGGTTGGACTCGGTGGTCTCAGAGGTCTTTTCCAACCTAATTGATTCTGTGATTTCGGGCTGTGATTTCTGTGTGTGCCTCAGGGCAGGTTTGGGATGTCTCTCCCATTTTCAAAGAGAAAATCCTATGGGATAAAAGACCCCACTCCCTCACCTCTCCACCTTCTTATTTTCTGCAGGACACTAGAGTGAGACATGGAGGCTTTGCCCTATTATTAGGAAAAGGTTCTTCCCCCAGAGGGTGGTCGGGCACTGAACGGGCTCCCCAGGGCAGTGGTTATGGCACCAAGGCTGACAGAGCTTAAGAAGCATTTGGACAACCCTCTCAGGGACAGGGTGGGATTGTCGGGGTGTCCTGTGCAGAACAGGAGTTAGACTCAATGATCCCTGTGGGTTGCTTCCAACTCAGGATATTCTGTTTGTATGCCCTACAGGGCACAGGGGTTGGGCTCTACCTGCAAGGCTCCTGCTCTCCAAGGTGCCTCAGGCTCTCCCCAGAGCATGTTGGTGGATGGCAACTAACAGTTATTCATGATCAAAAGTGTCCGGAGAGCAAATCTTGGAAAAGCTAACTTCAGCTTCTGCTTTACTTGGCTGTGGGAGTTGAAACCTCTGGAAGTCAGTTCCGGCTCAGTTTGTTTCTGCACCAAATTCCTGGCATTTCAGATGTTCATTTTTATGTGTTCTTGGAATTTTGTACGTTCCTGTAGATTTAATCTTCTCAACCAAATGCCTCATTTTCAAGGTATTTAAATAAGGGAAGAAGACTAGATGAGGCGTGTGCTACCTCGTTGCCTTCAAGTACAGAGGCTATGACTGATAAATATTGTAGTTCCTTTAGGTAGTGCTGACTGCAGCACTAATTAAACATGGGGCTTATGCGATATATTGGTGTATTAAATTGGATTAGCAGATTTGCTGCATGGTAATGTGCTGTTCCTGTTTTGGGGGATGGGTAGGAACTAACATCAAGGTGCATCTTAAATCCTCAGGGTTTAAGGAGGGTGGAATAAATTACTGTTAAACCTGTTGTAATGTTTGATATGAAAAATGTTTTCCTCAATTACCTGAACATATATGTGTGATGACCCTAAAATAGACAATAGCACACAGGAACCAATGAATTGCACAAATCACACAGCATATGGTAAGGATTTCTAACTTATATATTGATTAACTACATTTTTCAAGGAAGTGTTCGATTTATGCATTTGCGTATCTGCTAGGTGAGCTTTACAAAGGATGGGATTAGTAATACCATTAGTCTGAAAGCCCAAAACACTTGTGTGGATTGGGTGCTTTACTAAAAAGGAATAAATACATTTTCTGTGATTGGTACATTTCTAAGTGAGGTTTCTGGTAAATCTCCTCAATGTATGTTACATCCTTTAGGCTCTGTCCTGCACTGCTGTGATTAAAACAAACCATTCCTGTCATACTGATTTTGCATATAATTATTAGAAGAATTGACGTTTGACAGAACAGCCTTCAAAATCTTCTAATTTTTAAGTTTTTTTTTCTTAAGGCAACATAGTGCTTTCCATTTTTACTAGGTTCTGCTGTGTGAGGCTCTGTTTTGAAAGCACATTTATTTGATGATCAGTTCTGATGCACTTTGGAGTTCAACAGAAAAAACCTTAAATTGATCACTTGTTTTCCTATCTGTGTTTAACTCTTCTGATGTTCTCAGGCATTGAAATAAATGGTTTGCTAGCACAGCAGTTTTGCTTTATGTGCACTCATGTTTAAAATCTTGGGATCACAGACTGGTTTGGATTGGGAGGGACCTTAAATCTTATCCAGTTCCACCTCCCTGCCATGGGCAGAGGCACCTTCCACTAGACCGGTTTACTCCAAGCCCCATCCAGCCTGGCCTTGGACACTTCTAGAGATGGGGCAGCCACAAAATACACGTGTGTGCGTGTTTTTCGTATTTTGCTTTCCATAAGTGTTGAATGATTTTCTTCACTGGGATGTTCTGACATAGTGAAGGTTTTCCAAATAATTTTGGCTGAAAATACTATCTAAAATGGATCATTTTTTGAGTTACTCATTCCTTTACATAATTTTTTACATTGTGTTTCTGACTATAAATGACCGGAGATTAAAAAGACGTTATGTAGTTTGAGGTTGATCACAACTCAGATTATCAGTTGTTTAACTAAGTACCCTGTGATTGTATTTAATACACTACACTTCTGAACAGGAGATAAGCTTCAGAGTAGAGCAAGTTGCTAAATTAATTAATGTTTTTTCTTTGTGCAGCATTTTTACACACACAGCAGTTTTTAGATTGTCCCCACAGTACTTGAGCTGCTTTTTTCTTTTATTACTTAAGTAATAAAAAGTTAATTTCTGGACCATTCTTGAAGCACTGCAGTTCCTAAACACCTTTGTGGGATCCATCACCCAGACAAATGGGGTTAATTCAAAGCATCAAAGTGGTGTCTTTGAGTAGTAGGTTTAGAGTCTTTGGAGTGACACTGAAAAGAAAACTGTGTCTTTGTTTATATCAATATATTTTAACTGCACTGGGTTTTTTCTAAGTAACAGAAAGCACTGCTTTTTTTGCTTTATTTTTTTACAAGAATGTATTTTTTTTGTATTTGCCTTAGATTGGGCACATTGATCGGTAGCATAAAGGTGGGGCTTTATAGCAGTTAAGTCCAGGCATAGCTGGAATATTATTTTTTTAGTCTCTATGCAATATAGATAGATACTAAAAAAGATCCAACTCTTGCCTGTGTGTATTATTGGAAAATCTGGAAAGACATATTGAACCTGGCTTGCAGGTCAGATGGAATTAACCAACAGTACTCACAAGTACTGAAAACTGTTAGAAAATGGGCAAAGGTCTGGGTTTTTTTCTTTTAAAACAACAGACTTCAGCATTAGGGAGTGACTAATATTCTGGTAATACATTGCAAACTTTTAGCAGGTGTCATTTTCTGCTGTGATTTCCACTTTGGTTGTCCTAAGAGTCAAGGATAATGGGATAATTTGGGTAGAAAGAGACCTCAGGAAGTTGTATAGTCCAGCCTCCTGCTCAAAGCAGTGTTGGCACTGAATTCCAACCAGGTTGCTCAGGGCTTTGTGCAGTCAGACCTTGAAAACCTCCAGGGATGGTGATGACATGATTTCTCTGGGCAACTTGTTCCAGTATTTGACTGTTCTCATGATGAAAATGTTTTCTGTATGTCAGGTTCTGATTTCTCATTGACTCATATTGAAGCCAGAGTGAGAATTACATTAGAATTAAGGCAGCAATTAGATTTGTATATTTTGCTTAATATTTAGCAAAGAAAAAATACAAGTTGATCATAGGACTGGCTTAAAAAAATATTTTTAAACCATATGTGTGTGAACTGTGCTCTGTATCAAGACTGTTCTACAGTAGAACTTAATTTGTTTCAGTTGTGTCTTGCTAGAAAAACGCTGTGATTGTCAGTTATTGCTCAATTTCAAATAATGTTTTGTCCTCAGTTCAATGTCTGCCAGCACCAAATATTACTTGCAAAGATCACCTTGGCGTAGAAAAAGTCTTTACAGGACACGAAGTTGGATTTTACAAGCCTATTGAGTGTCGCAATGTGTAAGTACTCACTGGCTTTTGTGATCGTTTGTCTTTGTTTTCACACTGATGTTTTTCTAAAGTCGTGTGATGTGTTGACAGAAGGAAAAAGAGAAGTAAAATAGAACCATACACGTGTTGCCCAGTAGTTAATCCTCTAATAAACAGTATAAGGATGCAACAGAGAGTCATGGAATGGTTTGGTTTCGAAGGGACCATAAAGCTCATCTCTTTCCAACCCCCTGCCATGGGCAGGGACACCTTGCACTAAACCAGGTTGCTCAAAACATGCATGTTCATAAGTGAATCTGTCTCTGCCTGCACATTTTTGTTGTTGTTGTTGCTTAGTTATGTTTCTGTCTTTGCTTTACTTAGTACACTTTAACCTGGCAAAATTTTATCCCTAATGCTAAGGCCACATTTCACATATGCTTAAAATCAGTACAGCTGGTGAAGGAGCTGTTGGGGACACCCCTCCATCGTATCCCAGTCCTGACAGACCCCACGGCATCAGGGAACTAATCTGGGTTGAGCTAACTTGGATCAGTTCCCCAGTTTGAGTCACAGTACAGTGGCTTCAAGTTCTGGTGCCAGCACAGGGATGAGGGTGACTCAAGAATAAAAGAGAGAGGAGAAAGGAGGGCTGGACTGGGCTGTGCTATTCAGTGCTTCATGCCAGTTTACAGTGTGCCTGTGCTGAACTTGTAGTATGCCGGAATATTAGGGGAGCTTCAGTCTCTCCACTTCTTCCAAAAATATCTTTAAGGGGAACTGTTCTCTATTTTTAAACAACTTTTGTATTTAATCAAACCCTCTCTGTCTTTTAAGAGCCTTTTTCTGGTGTGTGAATGATGGACCTAGTTTTTCTAATGTACATTGTGAGTGATGGAGAGCTCTGGATACCAATAAATGTTCCAACTGGCCAATGCTAATGATCAGCCAGCACCTGTCAGTACCATTTGTTTCTCCTTTTTCTGGGACTCACATTGGAACCTCTTTCTTTTGTCCTACTGGAATCCTTGGAAATTAAAACTCCAGCAATACTCACTTGGTATTCCTTAGCACTCTGGTGGGCAAATAACTCTTATGTGGTACCAACTGCTCAATAATTTGCTTAACTTAGAAGTACAGCTCTGCCTCTTAATTTCATAAATATTTTCTCTGTATTTAGTCTTCTCAGCAGTCAAAGCTCAGCAAACTGAAGAAAACATATTATTACGTCTAATCAAATTTCAATGCTTCAAACTAGACTTCAGTCACATTT